GGCGGGTGTCTCCTGGGGTGATGGTGGTGGCTTTCCTCAGAAGGGGGTGGTGATGGGGTGTGTCGCCAGAGTGTGAGGTGTATAGCTTGGGGGGGGGGGGGGGGGTGTCGCGTGCGCGGGGGGGGGGGGTGTATCGCTGGGGGGGGGCGGTGGGGTGTCTCCTCAGAAGGTATCTGAGTTGTTGTGTTGTGGTTATTACAAGTCTTCTAGCATGCAGCCTGTCTGGTGAAAGTAGCTGGAGTTCCCCAGTCCTGGCGGCTGAAATGGTAATGGGATGGTAGCTATAGGGCTCCTCCTGAACTTGTTGATGTTTTTTTTAAGTCAATGAGGCTGGTTTAGTGGATATTAAGATCTGTTTGTGGGAGTGTCTGGCTCTGGTGAGGGGACTGGTCTCATATTTCAGATGCTACAATGACTAGAGATGAGTAACCGTAATTACATGTAGCCTTCAGGGAGAGTCCTGGTAATCACTTACGCTTTGATTTGCTTGGTGCTGTACAAGGTACAAAAATTAAAATTTTTAGCCCATAGTAATTTGCAGTGTAAAGCTACAGATGGGATGCAGTGGGAGATATATCCCTTCTCTAACTTTTTCTTCACATTAGCTACTCGCTACTTATGAATGGCACCAGTTTTTAAATTAGAGAGAATGGTTACCTGGATGGGGTGGATTAATCTTGTGCATATAAGAGAGGATTTGGTTAAGTTTGGGCACCAGAGTACTTTTAGGGGTGGATGGGAGACTGTCATCTCCAGCTCATCCAGAAGGGAGCCTGGTTTAAAAATGAAAATAGAGGTTGGTTGTATGTTACACCAGTTGTGGGGGAAAGGAGCTGAGAGAAGTCCTTAGATTAGATAAACTCTAGGGATATCAGTAGTGAAGGAAGTTGCTCAACTGTATGTGAGTTAGGGGCAAGGGAGAATTGGAAAGGCAAGTGTCGAGACCTCAAATGTCAATGGTTTACTGTAGGAAAGAGAAGTTATGTTATAGAAGTGGATGCAACGCTATTGATTGTCAATGTCTGGGAAGCAGAAACTATGGTAAAAATATAAATCTCAGGTCAATGGAATGTAAGCATATTTTTATCACTATACATAGAAAATAATATAGTGTGGGTGTACTACTAGCCTTTGGATCTAGACCTCGATGGATAAGTTGGAACGGGCAAAAATCTGTTAACATTGATTGACTTCAACTAAGTTTGGAGAAATTGGTTGACTGTCACTTAGAAACATGGTTGGAAGCCACACAGGGTGTTTGTGGGGTTTTTTTTTTAAAGCTGTAAAAGGTGATTGGTACAGATTGTTCTGGAGCAAAGGAATGGCTGTTACTCACTTAGATCTTGGTTTGAGGGCCTTGTCTATGCAAGGAGAATTTTTTGAAACAGCCCCCCTCCCCCAATATCAATTCAGCTCCGTCAGTGTTTTATTGGTAACACCCTAGTGTAGATTGGCTGCTGCCACACTCAAGTACTTTGGCATCAAGCTACTCAGTAGGTAAGTTTGGGACAGTGCTTAAAACAGTGGCAGAAGCCAGTGGCTATCTTCTATATTGAGCTGCTGATGCAGGAGTTAGCCATATTAAGAGTTTTCCTAGTGGAGACATGGCCTTAGTAACCCTAATTATCATTCTTGTGGCATCATACCAAGCAATACTACTGGCACGCTAAGCTTCAGGAAGAGCTGTTTCAGGGAAGTGAGGAAGCTACAAGTCTAAAGGGAAAAGTTAGGAGGTTAAAATTGAATTGTCATTTAGGCTGCTTAGGAGCAATGTAATAGAAGAAGGAATCTCGAACTTCAGAACTAGAAAGTAAAGGTGATACAGAAATTAGTATATACAGAAAGGTATAAAAGTTTGGCCTAAATAAATAAAAATCCTTTGAAATGAAGAAAAATCAACTTTTGAAGTAAATTAAGCTAAACAAGAAAAAAGACACTCTTATTCCGGAATCAGAGGGTCCACACATGGAGTTACTCTGGAATAGCTGTTCTGGTTTAAATAAACACTGCCTTATTCTCGAATAACTTTCATTTGTAGACAAGCCCTAAGAAGCCTGCCAAACTCAGTGAATCATTCCTTGTCTCCACTAGAGTTTGAACTTTCAGTCTGCACCAGTTTTGGATAACTTTCCCACTACTCTCCTAAAGTGTACTGGTGGCTGTCTGAAATCTAGAATGCATTGCTTTTGGAAACTCTTGGTTAGGTACCCATAAAGCACTGCAGTTGACAGTTTAAAATGGCAGTAGTAGAAGTATGTAACAATTGAATTGCTTCTGAACATGAAGTCAGCATGGCTAGAGTGGACTCACTGAACTGTTTAAACTGGTACCATTATAGAATCAGAATAATAGAAATGTAGGATTGGAAGTGACCTCGAGAGGTCATGAAGTCCATCTGTCTGCTCTGAGGTGGGACCAAGTATGCCTAGACCATCCCTGATAGGTGTTAGTCCAGTCTGTTCTTTAAAAACCTCCAATGATGGGGATTCCACAACCTCCATTAGAAACCTATTCAGCAACTTAATTATTCTTATAGTTAGCTTTTTCTAATATCTAACCTAAATCTCCTTTCCTGTACATTAAGCCCATTATTACTTGTCCTTCCTTCAGTGGGCATGGAAAATGATTGCTAGTCCTAAAATATGTTAAGGATGGCTGTTATCAGGTCCCCCCTCTTCTTTTCTCAATACCAAACATGCCCAGTTTTTAAGCCTTTCCTCATTGGTCAGGTTTCTCTAAACCTTTTATCATTTTTATTGCTCTCCTCTGCACTCTCTCCAGTTTATCCACACCTTTCTTAAAGTGTGGTGCTTGGAACTGGACACAGTACTCCAGCTGAGGCCTCACCAGTGTTGAATAGAGTTGGACAGTTACTTCCTGTAGTCTGTTTGGTGTGTGTGTGTGCGCTTTGTGTGTGCCATGCTGGCTGTACACAGATAGCTGTCCCAACAGACCTCGATCGAACTTCCCAAAAAGACCACAGACGTGGTTCTGCAGTGAAGGCACTTGGCCAAGTTTATTGTCAATGAAGCATGGTCCTAGCTCCCTGGATCATTGCCTACATTTGCACTAGCACATGTGTGCCTATGACAGTGTACGTATCTTAGTGAATGGTAGGACTTTCCAGTCCCCCTTCGGTTGGACAAAGACACACCCTGTGCGACCTCTTTTTTCATACACTGATACAGATAAGTTACGTATTGCCCCTCTGACGTGGTTAGTTACCACCCATTACCTTGTACATGTTGATTTGATCAAAACATCTGTATCCATCACCCTGTCATCCTAACCTTATCTTTAAGAGGGGCCAATGTGTCCCTGTATCATCTTCAGGGAGTGTGTTTACACCATAACTTTGTTTCAAGGTGTTCTGGTCCCTACTCTTCTGGAATGTGTTTACTTGAACACTTAGTGCCAAGAGTGCTTGTGTTTTTTTGCAACGCCAGACCTATTGTTGCCAAGTTCATGTATTGGACAGTGAACCTTCAAGCAATCATCTGCTTTGTGACTGGGCAGGGCCTGACTTGGCCTGACTCTTGCTCACTCTTTTTCTCTCAGCAAGGCTTGACTTTAGTTCGGGCCTCAGGCCTAGCTTTTTTTTTTTTTTTTTTGGTAACAGCATCATAGCTGTGTAAGAACAGTTCAGTTCTTTAGTGTAGGTATGGCCTTTCATCACAAGGGTGTAAAGGAGACAAGCAGAGGATAAGGAGACTACAGAGAAGCTAATATTGCTGTGTATGTCTTCATCATGCAGGATAATAGGAGGAGTGGGGGAAAACATGTCATCTGCAAAGAGTAACCAGGGGATAGGCAAAGGTGAGACTTTCAGAGTTTTTTTTTTTTTTTTTTTAAATGTTGGGGAACAACTTAAGAACTTGGCCAGCAATAAATTGCTGTGACTGGATGTTCCTCATGGGAGAACTTTGAAGAAACTAAAGAAGGAAAAAATTGTTGAGCTGCTAACAGTTTATCATTAAATTATACCATACATTTGGCACTCTATCAACATGCTGACTCTGAATTGTTCTTTAGAAGACACCTGAGATAATAGGCATCTTTGAGGTGTGTCTTCACTAGGAAACATAAGAGACAAGGTAGGTGAAGTAATATCTTTTATTGGACCAACTTTTGTTGGAGTGAGAAACAAGCTTTTGAGCTTACACAGAACTCTTCTTCAAGTTAAGCTTTGTGTTAGCTCAAAAGCTTGTCTTTCTCGCTAACAGAAGTTGGTCCAATAAAAGATATATTGCCTCGCTCACCTTGTCTCTCCTGATATCCTGGGACCAACATGGATACAGTAACATTGCATACAGACTAGGAAAGATGATCAGTCTTCTGCACCATTGTACACTTACTTACCAGTGTTGGAAGTCGTAGCACAAACAGGACATAAGCATTTTTTATGACAGTGGTGGTAACACCTGCACCCTGTCTATGCAGCAGCCTCTCCAGTTGGTAGCGCTGGTGCAGAAAAATTATGTAATTTCTTATTGTGGATAAAGACCTTGACTGGTGAATCTACCATGTCTTTTTTTTAATCAAAAGGTTAAAGTTATGCTTAGAATAATCTGCTAAACATTATCTTGGTATTTGGGGTGCATCTGGGATTGGAGTAGCATTACCCAACATCTCAGTAAATAAAATACTAGGGATGACAAAAAAAATCAGGCCTGTACCTGTTAGTCTTTAAAGAACCAACTATGGTTGCAATTGTTAGGCTTTCCAAAGGCTCTTTCCATAATTCTTCAAAAGTAGTTAAGGAAATTCTGTAACAATGGGGTGAGTAGTAAATTCAAAAAGGTATCACAAAAGGAAGTCTGTCATGAACGTAATGTCTGTACACTGCTTTTCCATTTCCTGTGTCTTGTTTGAGGTAGTCAACAAATAGAATACTTGGAGTAAAAATAGAGAGTGTCAGTTCTCATTATAGAAAGCTTTTTTATTGGTTTGCTTAAGATGCCCACTTCAGTTAAGTTATGTATATCACTACAAAGAAGTGTATTTGAATGTTGCGAGTTCTGGACCTTGCACCTGGGGAAATGGGGTGGAATAGGTGGTGGTCAAAATGTTGGATGAAGTCCTGGTGGAAATAGACTGTATGCCAGAATTCAGGTGAAGTTGTCAGAAGAGGTGAAAAAATATAGCTTACTCCTTGGTTATCACGGTGTACAGAACGTAAAAAAACAGAAAACTTAGCAGACATCTACCAATCCTAAGTAAGAAATTTATGAATGGGGCCAGGCACCACCATTGAAGTCCAAGGACAGCAATGTCTTGGTAAAGTTCTGCCCTCTGCTGTCCTCAGATGCTAGGAAGGTGGGGATGGGGGTACTTCTGGAATTTCTGCCATAGTGCTTGGAGGGCTTTGGTTGATTGTATCAGCTTCTAGCTAGTAAGGGTCTGAAATTTGAACATCCCCTTCTCCTCCCAACTGCTTGAAAGGAGAATGAGGTCCCTCCTCATTCCCAAAGCCTCCTGGAAGCTCTAAGGAGAGTGATCTTTGTTCTTCTCCTTCCATAGCCTGTCTCTTTTTTGGGGGGGGGGAGGGGGTTCCTCCTACCTTGTGAATAATTACAGTGCATGCCTCTGTTTCTGATGATTTGCCCAAGAAAGTCTGAAATTGTCATGATTTTACAGTTACTGCTGCCCATAGCGATCTAAATAACACCAGCAAAACTGCCTATGGTGTCATTAATTCGGCAACTGAGGCACTAGAGATTTTTGTCTTTGGACCAAGGAGAATGATGTATTGGCTATTCTTGTTTCACGTGTAGGGGGTTCTTGGTAACCATAATTAGACTAAAACTCTTTTGATGAAAGCTTAAATTCTACAGAAACTGATATCTTAGACTCATGGATGAAGCTACTTGGCTCATTGCAGGTTGCAAGTATAATGGACAGGAGCAGGGTCTATAAAGGTTTTAAGTGGAACTTTATATCGGTCTTGCATGACAATCTGGTAACATTTTAACCCAGTCAGCTTCTTCACTGACTTTTCAAAGACTGAAAGTTCCCATGATGTTGCTCAGGTTATCTGAGTGTTCTCTGATTCCTACCTCTTAATTGAATTCTGATTGTCCTGAAGAATGATTTTCGCATGAAGGTAATGCAGGATTTCATCTTGGGTTGATGTATTTTGACTTGGGTACTCAAGTGTTCTGAACTTTAGTGCCGCTGACTGTGGATGTAAAGAAGCTGAGAAGTTACATCCCAAAATTGAGTTTGGACGAATCACTGAATTATTTGATTTCTTTCCAGGTTTATGAAAACCTGATACATCTTGAAAATGTTTAACAAATCATTTGGAACTCCGTTTGGAGGCAGCGCTGGTGGCTTTGGGACTACTACAACATTTGGACAAAGTAAGTAATAGAGCTACCATTGGTGTTTTGTTTTTTTAATGAAGAAAAACTACTGGTAGTGGAAATGGTAGTTGGAAGTAATCTGCAAATTGGAACTGTAAACTGCAGATAAAGAGAAATGAATGGGGGTGGGAATTAGTTGGACATGATAGAATTTTGTATTTTTTAACTGACACATTAAACTGGACTGGATTCAAAATTTGGTTTTCATGCACTAGCAAACAAATTAAGTGGATGATATAATAGTTCTGTAATTCCATGTGTACTCAGCAAAGTGATCACTGGATAGCTACAGTAGCGATTCTAATGGTGGGGTAAGTCCAATCTTCAAAGGTAGTTCCTTCATGTTGAGGTACATTAGAAAGACAGTGAAGGAGAAGGGCACACTGTTGCTGCCCATGGTGAAGAATCTTTGGAATCTGCTGAGCCTACCAACCAGGATGCAAAATAGTGCTATTATGAGCAGGACATGCTTATCCCTTATGGATTTCTAATGTTCTTGTACTGGCTTAATGGCTGATAAAATGCATTGCAGTGTTTCTAAATTTACATTAATAAGCTATATGTAGTGCTGCCTGTCAGATCTAGCTATTCAGTTAAGGAGTGAAAGTAATGCCAAATGTTAAAGTAAACAATGGAAATCTCTACAGTATGGAACAGGAATCTTTGTATTCCAACATAGATGACTGACACTAACCACTCTTGTAATACTTCATTTTTTCCAGAGTGCTGTAAAAATATTAAATTGCATCATTCAGGTAGAAAACTGAGACTGTGATTTGTTCATAGTCATGGAGTAGGGAAAGCTGGGAGTACAGCAGAAGTAGGTGGTTCCTGTGTGTATGTGCCCTTCTCATTATACATGTTGTTGTTGTATAGATGCAGGCTTTGGTACTACCAGTGGAGGAGCATTTGGAACATCAGCCTTTGGGTCAAACAATAACACAGGAAGCCTCTTTGGGAACACACAGACTAAACCAGGTATAGCTGAAGTTGCTCAGTAACCAGAATTCATCACTCTAACTTATTCACACAGTGTTGCTGAAAAGAGTTGTTTTAACTTTAATCCTGTTGTGTATTCTGGTTTCAGGAGGATTGTTTGGTTCAAGTACATTTAGCCAACCAGCCACCTCCTCCACAAGCACTGGCTTTGGGTTTGGAACATCAACTGGAACTTCCAACAGCTTGTTTGGGACTGCCAGCACTGGTGGAGGTCTCTTTTCATCCCAGAATAATGCCTTTGCTCAGAATAAACCGGCTGGGTTTGGAAGTGAGTAGAAACTACTGCGTGTTTTCCAGCTCTGGTTTCTTGCTTTAAGTAAACATTGAAGGACAATGGTTAAACTAGCATGAAACACATGGTTGAACAAATGGTGCAGATTCATTATGACAACTGTACCTTCACTACCTTTTCCCTGAAGCTTTGCCAACAATAGCATTTACTGAGATCCACAGTATTCAGAGGTGAACTGCTCTGCTGTTTATATAATCTGGAGCTAGGACTCTGGGACGTGGATCTCAAATACATTGGCTGATATTACTGTTTGCAGCTTGTCCAGTTATAAGACTCAATCTTCCTATTGGATTCGTTTCATTTTAGTTTTTAATCCCTGCAACAGTGTTCTTTCTAGTACCGGAATAAAATCACTATTCAATCCTCTGGCACTAGCATGTTAGAAACTCCTGTTATGAAACATATAGCAAAAGGCTTCCTTTACAGCACAACACAGCCCCTGCAGTTGCTGCCACAAACTCTTCTGAGCCAGAGAAGTTACTCCTCGCCCCTGCTTCCCCAAGGGACCAAGCTAATTCCTGAACTGCATGAGAGTCACTTCCATTGCCTCTTGAATTAATCTTCTAGCGCACGAGCCGTGCACATAGCACACAACTTCCTTAGTTGTGGTGCCAGGAGCAGAGTGAAACTGGCTAGGATTGTTACTCTTATGTTCTCCATTGCTTGGTAGTAGAATGTACTGAGCACAGGCTTGATCTTCTGCTATAGAATACTGCCTCAGGGGAATGTAAATGTAGGGTTCCTGCATTGGTATGAATCCCCAGTAGCAATGTTTTTACTTATTCCACTGATGCTCCTTTAGTGCCTTATGAAAAGCTTTCACAGAATCTCTTGTAAGGTTGCCGACCCCTGCTCTAGAACAGTGGTTCCCAAACTTTAACAACCTGTGAACCCCTTTCACTAAAATGTCAAGTCTTGCGAACCCCCTCCTAAAAATTAATATTTCCAGGGATATTCTCCTTGACCTGAGTATAAATTATAAAAGCAGTGATCCTGGAAACATTGTTTGTTTTTGACATGCTTATTACACACTATTTATTAATTATCATTTATCGTGACAGTATTTTTATTACATTATGAAAACGGCAACACACTTCCAAGCTCTCGCTTTCGTAGTTTGTCACTTTGAATAAGCCTGTTATAAGACAAGTCTCCTAGGTTTCATCAAGGAGTATCAGATGTGAAACAGCATGAAGGTATTTAAGAAGCCAACTCAGAGTTCCTCCTACACAAGCATTCAGGTCTTGAGCAGTCCAGGCAAACAATGCACGTTACAACAAAGCTTAAACTTGTTCTTCATAATAATTTTAAAAACAATACTAGCTGCCTATTTAATTTTAAAAACAGCAAAAAATATCCACCTCCCTTTCCATTTCTTCTAAGGAGTCTTGAAGTTTAAATCTCCTCAGTGTGATAGAGATGCTTGCTTTGATCTGCTTAGCTCTTGAAAGTCCAGGAGCTCTGGGCTGCTGACCCGTGCTGCCCAGGGTCTCTAGGGACAGCTCTGTCCGCCATTAGGGAATTTTTTCCCAAGAACCCCCTGTAACATTTCGCGAACCCCCAGGGGTTCATGAACCCCAGTTTGGGAACCACTGCTCTAGAACCTTTCAGAAGTGGTGTGCCGAGTCGTCTTTATTCATTCTAATTGAAGGTTTCGCGTGCCAGTAATACATTTTAACGTTTTTAGAAGGTCTTTCGATAAGTCTATAATATATAACTAAACTATTGTTGTATGTAAAGTAAATAAGGTTTTTAAAATGTTTAAGAAGCTTCATTTAAAATTAAATTAAAATGCAGAGCCCCCCGGACTGGTGGCCAGGACCCGGGCAGTGTGAGTGCCACTGAAAATCAGCTTGCGTGCTGCCTTCGGCACGCATGCCATAGGTTGCCTACCTCTGTTCTAGAGGATCAAGAAGCTTGTAGGTAATACAGGGAGTGTTAAATCAGGAACTTGGGGAGTTTTCCAAGCAGGAGATGGTCATCAGAGAAGCAGGATGAAATCTGTGCCAGACAAGATTAAACTTGAGACCTGTTTTCTTAATATCATGTTAGTAGGTAGTTCTACATTATCTTGGATTAGTTTGTGACAGATACTTGATCCCACCTGTATTCATTGAGTCTAGCTGGTCTTTGCCACTGCAAGAGCATTGTTTGCATTATAACTTAAGGCAGCTGTGTCACGGTCTCCCACAAATATGCATTCTGTTTGACAGACAATATAGTCTCTTCCCCAAAGAGGTTAACCTAAGTTAGGATCTAATGTGAAGAAATAGTAGCACAATAATGGTTGGGGGTGCAATCTAAATAGCTAGACAAGGTCATATGGATATCTTGGTCTGTTTTTACATCCTTAACAACTGTTGATCTATAGGTTATATACATGACTGTCTCATGAAATCTATCCCAAGTTTTGTCCTCAACCAATGAAGTTGTGAGCTATTTCAAAAACATCTAAGCGGTATATGAAAGGAGGAGACAGAAGAAAAGCCTTTAAGCTTAAATGCATGGTTCTGAAACTTAACTCTGTCTCTCAAATCTCAGTACTCTAGTGTGGTTTGAATAAAATAATTGGGTTGTAGTTCTTAAAAAAACACACTTGGAAAATCTCAAATGACTTTCATTTTCGTATGGATTCTTTTTCTTATTTACAGACTTTGGAACAAGTACCAGCAGTGGAGGTCTCTTTGGAACCACTAACACTGCCTCCAACCCTTTTGGGGGTACGTCTGGCTCTCTCTTTGGGCCAACTAGCTTTACTGCTGCTCCAACTGGGACTACCATTAAATTTAATGTAAGTGCTGTTTATTTTCTCAAGGTCTAACTTCTGCTTACTGTAGGGAACGGTACATTCTGCTATTCTTTACTTTAAAATGTTGGCTTGCTAGGACCTGTGGAATAAAATAACTGATTCATAGGCAGTTGTAGAAGGCATGTGCGCTTCAGTAGAACTATTGCAGTGGAGGCAGCTTATGCAAGCAGTTGTCCAGAAATAATTCACCAGCTTGCTTTGGTATGGAAAAGTCTTGAATTATTGTATGGGAAACATAGATTAACTTCTCATCTAGACTTGTTAGAGCTGCATAGACCTAGAGCTTGTGTCTGAATTCTTGCCAAACAGACTTTATTACTAGCTGTCATTTAAAATAGAATTTTCAGAGTGCTGACAAATGTTAAAATTCTATTGCAATTCTTTTATAATCAAGACTAAATTCTTACTAATAGCAGTGGAGACTAAGCTTTGTTGGTATGTTAGTGGTATGTTGTCCCCTTTGGAGTCAGTGCAGCTCTAGAAAGATTAATTGAAACACCAAGAATCTTTCTAGATTACTCTTTAGGTTGAGGCCCCTTTAAGAGATGTCTGGAATAAATGACTCTGAAGATTCTATGGCAGTTGAGAAGTGAATGATGGTCCAAAAGAGGAGAAACTGCAAAAATGGGGTAATAGTGAAAGGTTTCAACCTCTGTCTGCCCTGGAGGGCAGCTGAGGATGCGGAGCATCCTGCCAAACACCACTGTGACTGATCTTTACAAACTTAGAGGGCTGAGAGTGCACACAACATACTGCAGCATCCTAATAGAAATGGAGTCTTTTCACTGAAACCATCTCTCAGGAAATGATGAACTTCAAAGGAATGGACAGAATAGTGAAAACAAACTTGAGCATATGTGATCCTCCCTAGGATAGGGAGAAAGGTTGTTGGGGATAACTCTCAAAGGCTTTAGAGAACTATATCAGAAGTCTGGGGACATGTTGCCTTTAAAAATTACAAACTAAAAAGGCAAATTGCACTGAATTCTGAGAATTATTGGGGGGAATTTACTGTGCTGATTGATGTTGAAGGCCACAGCTACACATAGCACTGTGCTGCACCATTCCAGTGTCTGTACTAAATTTAGGCTTTGTATTTAGGCAGGATGTATCTGGACAGTAGACATTGACACTTATAAAAACATAGGTGGATGTGAAACAAATTGAGTATCTAACTCTTTTCTTGCAGCCACCAACCGGCACAGATACTATGGTAAAATCTGGAGTTAGCACTAACATCAGCACTAAGCACCAGTGTATTACTGCTATGAAGGAGTATGAAAGCAAATCCCTAGAGGTCAGTCAAATCAAAGATTTAAACTTTTTTGCTGCCTCCCTCGCTAAGCTTTGGTCTTATGACTTGTATGGTATATGAGCATCCTGACATTAGGTCCATACAGTACATTAAAATATTTAATCTTCGGTACCTGCATCATTTTAATGATGTTGTTCTTTGAAGGCTGTTAACTTTCTAAAGTGATATACCTGTGGCAGGCTGACGTGTCATCCAGTAGAGCAATTCGCTTTTCATTTGCATCAGCTGGGCTTTTAAATGCTTAACATGGCATCCTCTACAGATCTGAAAATAACTCTTAGACTATCTTGGGATGAAAGGGAGAAACATACGGTAAAGAACAATTTTTCCTGGTAGAGGGAATGAGAGGATGATTAGCATTTAGGGACTGTGGAGCTCTCTAGTAGTAGTCTCTTTGGGGTCTTCACTCTGAAAGCTCTTCATTTGAAAGGCAAATTGTTTGTAAAACTTAAACAAGTCTCCTAGTCAAAAGGCCCTGTTAACTTTACAAGGTGGGTCATTATTTATTTAAAAGAAAAAAAAAAAAAACTTTCACAATCTTAACATGAACTAGTGGGTGCACTTAAGGAAACCTACCGTTAGAACTGGAATTAACTTAAGAATAGAGTATTATCGAAACCTGTAACATCTCTAAAGTGGCAAAAAACTTTGAATGTACCCTCTGTATATGTTGGGATTTTTTTTTTTTTTTGAGGGGGCGGCGGGTGTCCAATTTCTGAGCTTAGTGCATCTAAGAGCTACAAGGCAATTGCTCAAACTTGGTTTGTCCCACATGAAATGACGGTGTAAAGAAAACGAGTGTGTTTTTTGGTTAGGAACTCCGTTTGGAAGATTACCAGGCAAACAGGAAAGGGCCCTCAAATCCAGCGGTAGCAGCTGCGGGGTTATTTGGCTCCTCCACAGCTACATCCAGCGCAGCTACTGGACTGTTTGGCTCCTCCGCCACTAATGCAGGTTTTTCATACGGACAGAATAAAACAGCTTTTGGAACCAGTAAGTGTTGACCTACCTGCTAGCTTTACTGTCACCATAGACCTTGGTACGTAAGAATTCAAGGCTACTTCCCTTTTCCCCACTTTGCTCTTAGGACAATTTACATTAGTAAACTCACTTTATACAACTAGATTATGACTGTTATCAAACTTGGGTTGTTAAACACTTGTTATACAAACTTTGCATCAGTTCCTGCACCAATGTAATGTCTTTCGACAAATATTGAGAGGGGATCTGACATTACAAGAAAGCTTACAGTCCTTGTGTGCTATTAACAAAAAAATCACTGATAAATAGAACTCATCCATGTGTTTGATTGATTACACTACCAATATCATGAGAGTGAAGTCTAGCCTAGTTCTGCCAACTAAATCAGGACAAAACCCCAATAGAAAATGTACTTAATGCTTGCAGGAACTTGCTTCCTTCATTAGAGCAAAATCAGGATAACGTCTGCTTCGTTAGATGAAAAAACCTAGCCTCCTGCTGCCCTCTTGGCACAAGCAGCATGTGTGTACCTCCATTGCAGGGGTCTATTAACCAAAGAAAATAACTGAAAACCAAGTGGAGTAAACAATCTTGTTCAAAAATCAGTGCTAGCCCAAAACTGAAATGTGTTAGTGGGAAGAACAGCTCAAAAATAGATTAGATTGGTAACTAACTTGCAATACAGAACTTCTGGTAACATTTCCTTACGTTCAGATGTGCAATATTAGGGCAGACTTGTACAGGAACTTGTCACTTTATGTTGTAGTTCTGTTCCTGAAAAATGCGACTTTAAGCGAAGCGATGTTAAGCGAATCCAATTTCCCCGTAAGAATTAATGTAAATGAGGGGGTTAGGTTCCAGGGAAATTTTTTTCACCAGACAAAACACGCGCGCACACACGCGCACTATAAGTTTTAAACAATTTAATACTGGTACACAGTGATGATTGTGAAGCTTGGTTGAGGTGGAGGAGTCAGAGGGTGGGATATTTCCCAGGGAATACCTTACTGCTAAATGAACTAGCAATTAACTGAGCCTCAAGGGTTAACTCTCACAACACTCTACAAGGCAGCAGGAAAGGAGGGAGGGCAGACATAGAGACACACCCTGTGTGTGAGAGAAAAAAATGCGCATTTCCTCTTTAAGTAGCTGGCCCCAGGCTTAAGTACACTGCCTTGTTAATTAAATCAGCTTGCTGAGACCTGAGATGGCAGCTACTGCGTAGAAGCTCCCTCACTCCGTGTCCCCCCTGCTGTATGGAAGATGGAGTAAGCAGGGTGCAGGAGCAGGGTGGAGGGGAAGACACCTTAACATTAGCCCCCTTCTTCCCCGTCCCTCCCGTACAGCAAGCAGGAGTCTCTGGGAGCAGCTCCAAGGCAGAGAGCAAGAGTAGCACATGGGAGTGGGGAGCTGATAAGGGGCTGCTGGTCCACCCTGATTCCAACCACCCACCTAATTGATCAGCAACTTAACATCGAAACAACATTAACCGGGATGACTTTAAGTGAGGAGTTCCTGTATAACTATGAAATCAGTGACCATAAACTGAAGACGGAAACTACTGCACAAACTTTGTTTAAACACCAGTGAATGCCTACCCCATCAAGGAGTAAGATCTTGCCTTGGGCACATTTTAAGGTTCTTGTGGATTGGGTTAAGTCAGCCATCTTAGGGTATGGTTTTCATACACAATTCAAAGCCTCCAATGAGATTGGCCATACATTATTTTCTCTGTGTCCATGATGTCCCATGACTGGTTGGTCCAGAGGAACATAGCAGGAAAGGTCGGGTTGTGAGCACAAGAGACAAACTTTTATATGAGCTGGAGCTAGACTATCGAAATTATTGAAGAGATAACAATGACCGTGAACTTTTTTGCACTTTGTGTGGAAAGTGATACTCATTTCTTTGGATGTGGCTTGATAAGTTTTTGTTTGTGTGTACTTTCAGCACTTCCTGTCAGTCACACGCAAGCAGAACTAGTCAAGTTGTTTCTCCTAGAGGCTGAAAAACAATAAAAAATTAATATTTGGGAGACGTTTAGACAGTCCTATGTATTGGCAGCTATAGAAGTTGCTAGCTAATAGTAGACTTTGAACTTTGATATTGGGTGTCATCTGTAAAAATTGTTCCTTTTGCTAACCTTTTTTGGTTGCCTTTCCTCCCCCTATGCAATCAGGCTAGTCAGATGTTGGCACCACAATCCAGTTGGTGCAATACA